GGTTTCCCTCATCACAAGACGTGTCTTCCGATGTGTCGCCCTTGAACAGTTCCTTTAACGAAAATATAAGAATTAGTAAATCATGATTTGCCAAAATACATCTCAGTACACATAGGTACATCGTGTACAAATATATTTATAGAACATATATAGATTACATAGAGTCAGATATGTAACAAAAAATTATCTACTTTCATACTCAGTTTAAACATACCTCCTTCTCGTCACGATATGGCTGAGATATTGGTGATGTGACGTATAGCATTAACTCACTCACTCATTCAACATACCTCCAGATCCGTATTATGATCGCTATCATTCTGGGTGTCATAGGAAACGGCAAATATTTCGTTGTCCCAGTTGCTGGACCTTGAAACCTGTTCCTACAATAAAAATTATAATTCAGTCTATTTTATAGTGATATGCAAGGTTTTCATACTCGTTAAACAATTTGAATGGTAAGTATAGAACAGTAGTTGCACGCTTTGACTAATTCACAAAAATACATACCCTGAAATCCGATTCAAAATCCTGACTCTGTTGAGCGGAACGTTTTCAACATTCTCAATTATGACGTCATCATCTTTCTCGTTGTCCCTTTCGGCTTCCAATGGCCCTGCAAATAGCCCCAAATCAGTGACGTCATCGCTCCACGAATCACCGTCTGTTTCAGGTGCTTTCTAAAATAGTAGAAATAATTCCATACATTACTAACGGTACAATTACACACGTTTTTACAGAATAAATGTGTCCATAAAAATACATTAGCTACACACTAGTATTTTAGAAAACAATTTAAACAAAGCTTAAGATCTGCTTCCGTAGACATCTCTCGTCCTACATTCTCTACGTGCTCTACTAAGATTGAGTCATCATCGTCATTTTCGAACTGATCTTCAACAGTGACCAACAATTGATCCTCTTCTTCCTCGCGGAGATGTTCTAAGAAGGCAGAGACTTTGTCTAGGTTATCAGAAGTCAAAGTCTTCAGGTACTCGAGTATTTGTTCCTGGGCCATGGTCTTAGCGTAGAAATGTACTTATAAAAGGCAGACTGGCCAGTTAATGTCAAACATTATTATTATGACACGACTATAATAGAGTTATCACACACTCTCTTTAACAATGCTATTTTCCAACAGTCGTATTCAATTATGAATGGACCGATGCCAATAGACAATATATTCAACATTAAGAAGTAACACCCAGTCATCAGGCTTATGAGACCCAGTATAAAAACAGTGATACTAAAATGATTATACAAGGATAAATATGTATACTAAGTACATACGATATATTTCTGGTACATTAGAGCACTATGTAAAAGATATCAATCGTTTATATATGTCTAATAGAGTATTTGCTAAACTTATCTGCAGATTTTCAACATTTTAAATAAAGCATAATTTTTGTTAATCCTGGAACTTATTAAAGGATGGACAACAACTAAAAACTTTAGAAAAAAGTGTATATCTTAAATCATAAAAAATGACTGTTTATTAAAATGTGCTTTTCATCTTCCACTGTTCTAAAATGTAAAACATTTTAGCAATATGTACAAACTCTGACATTAATAGGGATTGGTGGATTGTTGTAACGTCATGTTTCTCCCACTTCAGGAAAGGATTCACATCGGAAAAAATCTAAAACACGGTAACCACTACATCATTTCACAAACGATGCGTTTTCCATTCCCCCCATTGGAGAGATGGTATGCAGAACCTGACCGAAATGGATTTAGATTTATAATTTAAGTATTGTATTTGTTTCAAGTTTAATTGTAGAATAAGTCAAGAAGTGTACGTATGCAAACATTAACATAACATTTTTAGATAATTATGCATTGCACAATATAGCCTAAACGACTATGAAATGCATAAATGTATAAATGTATAAATACATAAATACATTAAGTAATGAACCGGTGAAACGATTGACTTAAATCACCAATCCGTATTTTAGCACATGCATGGTAGTGATAGACAGAACAAATATTCTCATTAAAGCAATATGCTGCTGTCATCAGATTGGAATACAATATATTATCACTTTGCATCAATAAAATTGTAAAAATATTAAGATTCAAATTAATACTGACCTGAGACAAACTCGGACACATCAGTTGTTCCTGTTCCCCTTCTCCTTCTTCATTTATCCCGTCGTCACTGCATTTAAAGAACTTAATTACGTGTCACACAGGGGGGCAATATTTTTACGGTCCTTTAACCTCCTGGACAGAGCCTTCAATAATGTATGTTAATAGTAGCATCACACCAAAGTTAAAAACAAGCATTTAATTATTCACATACATATTTAAAATTTATTAAACAGACCAATTACTTTCAATTCTCTCCCTCCTAAATCTTTCTCTCGACAGTACCCTCTCTACTCTCCTTTGTTGAATAAGAAAATGGTATACTACAATGATATATGCCGGAGAATTATTCTGATAATTAGTGCCCAAAAGTCTTTGGTACTCAATCCAAAATTTTAGTATCGGTGATGCGTTTATGCTATCTTCTAAATCTCTTTCTATAACTGCTGCGCTTACTGGTCCAATCCTAGCTAGTGCTATCGCTATGTCCCATGGTAAAAGGTAGTTGTTCATTCTATTGTCCTAACTCATATATCCTAGCTTATGCTTCCCAACCCAGATATCCTAATCTAATATTCCTACATCGTCCACAAATTCCTTTCACTTTCTCCTTAACCCCGCTAAATACCTTTCCCTTCTTCTTTTAGTATTCGCTAAATTACATTGTTCCTTTTCGGCATCTTCCTTCGCCTTCTTTTTCTTTAAAAAGGTTATATAGACCGCTATTATGTGGTCCGGAGAATTGTCTTCTTTCTCCGTACCCTCGATCTTTTGCCTTCCTATCCAATTTCGTAGTACTGGAGACAAGTGTACCCACTCCTTTATTATATCCCCCGCCCCAACGAATTTGGCGGGGGATATAGAAATGGGTTCCGTCCGTGTGTGTGTGTGTGCGTGTGCGTGTGCGCGTGTCCCAAAATCGTTTCCGGAGCATAACTCAGAAACCGTTAAATATTTCTCTACGAAACTGTGCATGTCTATCAGACTCATGCTGAACTGGTGCCTTTTGCTATTAAGGAATTTTATAAAAAAATTATTTTTTACGTTTCCATGGCAACAAGTTGGACTTAGGTTCTATAGGGTAGAGTTTTTTTCCGGAGCATAACTCAAAACCCATTCAATACTTTCCAACAAATACTGTGCATGTTTACCAGACACATACTGGACTGGTGCCTCTTGGTATTTAGGAATTTTAGAAATTTTTATTTTTCACGTTTCCATGGCAAAAAGTTGGACTTAGGTTCTACAGGGTGGTGTTCGTTTCCAGAGTGTAACTCAAAAACCGTCAAATACTTTCTTACAAAACTTTGCATGTCTACCAGGTACATACTGAACTGGTGCCTTTTGATAAATAGCACTTTTAGAAATTTGTATTGTTTATGTTTCCATGACAACAAGTTGGATTTAAGTTTTAATATAGGATTGGTTTTCTTAAGTAGTATAACAAATAAACTGTTAAATATTTCCTTGGCAAACATTGCATGTCTGTATATAAAGCACATACTGAACTAGTGCCATTTGATATTAAGGAGTTTTAGAAATGTTTATTTTAGAATTTCCATTGCAGCTTTTTTGACATGGGCTAAGAGAAATGTTGTGTCAGTTACCTGGTTTGGGACCATAACGTGTTAAAATGGGCGGGAGATATATATTACCTTAACTTAGTTCTTTGTAACTAAAATCTATACACTATATGCTAGCAGAACAAATTGAGTCATTTAAGGCAAAACTTACCTTGAGAGATTCTCCTAACTGTATTTTGGTTCCTGATTGGAGATTTGTTGTCCAAGATCCGGGTCACAGCACCATAAAATTTCGACTCCGGGATCAGTCTAGCTTGTAACCTGGGTCCTTTTTCTTGATCTTCGCAATCAGGAGACACCACAGCAGGAACACAACGACGTGGTTCAAGTTGAGATAAGTTTTATTCAAACGGTTTTGAATAAGGTAAAACAGATACCACACAAACTTGCTGGCGGCAATCTGAATGACTTATGAGCGCAGTGACCTCTGACCTATCTACTTGCGTCCCGCAAACCGTTCTCCCCGAATGACGATTTTCCATCTTGTTTTATCCTTAAACTTTTCTACGTCATTCTAATGATAAATTACTATGATGTCATGAGGTTGACCAGCACGTGAGTCCGTTCTGGTTCTCATGCTTTAAAACTATTTATTATTATGAAGACTGAGTAGTTAAACAGCTTCTTAGTGACTTATCCGAGGTTTTGACCTCGTACACTAAGGTTAATCTCATCTATTAAGTCCTTGATATATATGCTAACCTACAACTACAGGGGTCGGACCAGTTCCCTCCTCGTACAATTCGTATAGTTAATGTTATCTAATAATTTCTCTTAAATTACCTGGCACTCGTGAAGAGCAACCTCCTCGTGGTGAGTGCTGGGTAACGCTAATAGCTCTTCCCCCGTGTGGAACCGGGGTAGAATATTTCCACAGCACCCCATTGCTGGTCGTAAGAGGCGACCAAAGTGGGCAACCTGTTTGCCGTGGGTTGCGCCCCTGTGTCGGTGGAGGACGGGATTCTGGTGGTTGAGGGCATTGGAGCCAGGAACAAGTGTTCCTTTTGCCCAACACACCACTTTGACCCTTACTTCACCTAGACGGGTGGTAGAATGGGCCCGATTCTATCAATCGGCTGGTCACGCCATGCCCTGTGCATGGAATGCTTGATTATTTACAAATGTCATCTCAGACCATTTTTGAACAGGATATCTGATGACCTTGATTATGTACATTTAAAATTTTGCCTAGAGTCCTATGCCAGAAGGCGGTGGCTCATGGGCCAATCTGGTGATATAGACCTCTGAATTCTGTGTTTTTATAGGAAAATGCCATGGGCCGAACCAGCCTGACATTTCTCCTTTTATTAACAACAGCTATCCATGTCTCTATTTCTGGAGTATAACATCCCTGTAACCCTGATGTTGCAGGCTGGCTTCCACTGCAACATCGTCCTCGTTGACACTCGATGGCGGGTAGGGAGCAGGGGTGCTGAATATTCTTATTATACCATGGCTACCAATACATCTACTGGTTCATCTAAAGCAAACAAAAGAAGGCACCTTTCTTCATCATCTGATGAAGAATTATCTCAAATATTTCCTGAATCTTGGCCAAGATTCTTAGTGATTTCAACTGTTGATGAAAGTCCTTTAAAACTCAACCCGTTTGCGATCTCAAAGGGCATACAAAGTGCCTGTGGTGAGGTTAAAAATGTAACACGTCTCCGTGGTGGATCCATCCTAGTAGAATGTGCACGGAGACAACAATCTGTCAATCTGCTTGATCTTCAGCAGTTTGTAAACACACAGGTTGTTGTCTCAGCGCACAAGACGCTGAACTCAAGTAGGGGCATCGTTCGTGATCGAGCTCGCTGTCTGTCAGACATGACAGAAGGAGAGATAGCAGACGAACTTCAAAATCAAGGTGTCACCGCAGTTAAGCGGTTTACGAGAAAAACTCAAGATGGAACCATTGTCAATACCCAAACCTACCTTTTTACTTTTTCTGTGACAACTCTTCCAAAGTTCATAAAAGCTGGTTACTTTAACATCGGAGTGGAGGTTTATGTTCCAAATCCACTCCGATGTTACAAGTGTCAAAAATTCGGTCACGGGGCCAAAACTTGCACTAACAAGGCCAGGTGTTTCCGTTGCAGTGAAACTCACGAGAGTTCAGAATGCACAAATGAGATCAGGTGTGCCAACTGCAACGGGGAGCACCTATCCTCATCAAAATCCTGTCCTGCTTTTGATCGGGAAACAAAAATTTTAAGAATCAAACATACTAACAACATATCCTACACTGAAGCTAAAAAGTTACTACTTCCATCTCAAACACCTTCTACTAAAAGTTATTCAGCTGCTGTCTCTTCCCCAGTGCAACTTCCCAAGGTAACTACGGTATCCACACACTGCCAGACTTCTATCTCCTGGTTAAAAGATGATATCATTACACTTGAGGACTCCATTCATATATCTAAGGACCTCCCACAGATATCATCATCTGCCACCCAAACTGAGACCATTCACACCCCACCTACTGAACCAAATGTAGCTGTAGCTGAAACACGTCAGGGCAATGCCCATTTATCAAATAAAGCGAAAAAGCAAATGAGGAGAAAGGCCAAAACACTCCAACACTTGGAGGTGCCTTCTCCTGTGACAACCACTGTAGAGGTTCATAATCCGTTTGAGCCTCTGGAGATGGACGTCACTCCCACACAACCGGTCCATGAGAGTGGACGTACCTCCCGCTCAAGATCCCCAGTTGAGCCGCCATGAGCTGCTCAAGTCACGTCATTCAATGGAATTGCAGAGGACTTCGACATAATTATAATGATCTACAACTTTTACTACAAGATTTTAAACCATCAGCTCTTTGTCTTCAAGAAACCTACTTGAAAAACACCGATCACACCGACATCAGACAGTATAGTTCTTATCATTTCTTTTCCCCCCCAGGGGCTAAGGCCACTGGAGGTTCTTCAGTGTTGGTGAGGCAGGGTATCATCCACAGTACTGTTCCTCTTGATACTCCTCTCCAAGCCATTGCTGTCCGAATAACTTTACACATTGTTTTTACTTTGTGTTCTCTATATATCCCTCCATCTTCGTCTATTCAGCAAACTGATCTCCAAGCACTATATGACCAACTGCCTAAACCTTGTATCATAATGGGTGATTTGAATGGACATAATCCATTATGGGGTAGTGATCATACCAGCACTAAAGGGAAGAGTATAGAAGATTTTATTTCCAACAATGCTTTATGTCTTTATAATGATGACTCCAGGACATATTTACATCCTGGTACAGGTACATACTCTTCCCTCGATTTGTCGATTACAGACTCTGATCTGTTGAATGAATTTGAGTGGTCAGTCCATGATGACCTCTGTGGAAGTGACCACTTTCCAACCATTCTGAAAACGGTTAACCCTTCTGATATTCAGCCATCATCACGATGGAACTTTACTAAAGCAAACTGGCCTTTGTTTGAATTACTGTCCTCCAACAAATTAACGCCTAATTTGTTTATCAACGCTCCTGATCCTATTCAACTCTTCTCTGATGAGCTTCTCAAAATTGCTGATGAATGTATTCCGAAGTCCTCTGCAAATCCACACATCCGTAAACCATGGTTTAACAATGACTGCAAGCAAGCTAGGAAGGCACGGAAAAAGGCTGAACATTATTTCCGTCGCCATCCAATGGTCCGTAATTTGAATAAATTTAAAATGTTAAATGCTAAAGCACGATGTACTTTTAAGCAAAATAAACGCCAATCGTGGCAAACTTATGTTTCAAAAATCAATTCACGTACTCCAATGTCTAAAGTTTGGAACATGATTCAGAAAATTAAAGGTAAGGGTTCCAAATCCAGCATCCGCCATCTCCAAAATGGGGATGTACTACTCACTGATAAATCTGATATTGCAAACAAACTTGGTGAAACTTTGGCTAAACATTCTTCCTCAACTAACTATGATCCTAAATTCCAAAAATATCAAAAACAGCAAGAAATGAAAACTATTAATTTCAATTCAGATAACGGGGAAGATTATAATGAACTTTTCTCTATTAATGAACTCCATACGGCACTTGAACAAGCCCATGATACGGCTGCCGGAGCTGATAACATTCATTATCAACTCCTGAAACACTTACCAGAATCATCTTTAGTAACATTATTGACTATTTTTGATCAAATTTGGACGTCTGGGAAATTTCCTCCTTCATGGCGCGATGCTGTAGTTATTCCAATACCCAAACCTGGGCGAGATCATACAGACCCTTCAAATTATCGACCGATATCACTAACAAGCTGCGTCTGCAAAACCATGGAACGCATGATTAATAATCGATTAGTTTGGTACTTAGAAACCAACAATCTCATTACTAACATACAATGTGGTTTCCGGAAAAACAGAAGTACCATCGATCATTTGGTTCGATTAGAATCATTTGTTAAAAATGCAATAATAAATAAACAACATGCAGTGTCTATCTTTTTCGATCTCGAAAAAGCATACGACACTGCATGGAAACATGGTATTTTAAAAGATTTACACGATTTTGGATTACGTGGCCGTTTGCCACAATTCATATCTGAGTTTTTAACCGACAGGCAATTTCAAGTCCGCGTGGGTTCTACCCTGTCTGACCATTATCATCAGGATCAGGGTGTCCCACAAGGCAGTATTTTGTCTGTCACTTTATTTAGTATTAAAATTAATAGCCTTTCAAAGGTTTTAAGCGATTCAATTGATGGATCACTGTTTGTTGATGATTTTAATATTTCATGCTGTGGTAAAAATATGAATACTGTCGAAAGGCAACTGCAATTATGTCTAAATAAAATTCATAAATGGGCATTAGAAAATGGTTTTAAATTTTCAAAATCTAAAACAAACTGCATTCACTTTTGCAGAAAATACAAACCTCACAAAGACCCTGAACTAGTTTTAGCTGGCAATCCTATTAAAGTTGTAAAGGAGGCCAAGTTTTTGGGCATCATTTTCGATCACCATTTGACCTTCTTACCGCATATAAAGTATTTGAAAAATAAATGTCTGAAAGCACTTGACTTGCTGAAAGTTGTTTCAAATTCCAAGTGGGGAGGGGATCAGAAAACCCTCCTCCAACTTTACAGAGCCCTTATCCGATCTAAACTGGATTATGGCTCCATCATTTATGGTGGAGCCTGTAAAAGTAATTTAAAATTATTGGATACAATTCATCATCAAGGTCTGAGGCTTTGCCTTGGTGCCTTCAGGACTTCACCAATACATAGTCTGTATGTGGAGGCTGATGAGCCATCCCTAAAACACCGTCGCATAAAATTGTCTTTACAATATATCTCTAAATTATATTCTAATAACTCGAATCCAGCATATGACTGTGTTTTTATTCCACTTTACGAAAATCTCTATAACAAAAAATCATCTCTTATTCCACCACTTGGAATAAGATTACAATACCATATTTCTGCTGCTAATATAAATCTTGACACTATAGCCCCTACTCAGCTTTTGTCTTCTCCGCCATGGCAGCTAGTGAAACCAGAGGTGGACCTAACCTTAACTAAACAAAAGAAATCTGAAACAAACCAGCTGGTTTATCAACAACAATATAATGAATTAAGAAACTCATATGATACTTACAAATCAATCTTTACAGATGGATCCAAGGATGGTGACACCGTTGCCAGTGCCACTGTCATTGGATCCAAGACTATCTCATCCAGATTACCTGATAACTGTTCTATTTTCACAGCAGAAGCCAATGCCATTCTAGTAGCTCTCAAATATATTAGTAAACAGTCCAAATATCAGAGGTTTATTATATTTTCTGATTCTCTTTCGTGCCTGCAGGCTATTCATAACATGTCACATCAACATCCACTTTTAATCGACATTATTGAATTGTATAATTCTCTAGCTACTGGCCAATACGACATCGTTTTTTGTTGGTTACCCAGCCATGTCGGAATTGTTGGTAACACCATGGCCGATGCTGCTGCAAAAGCAGCTCTCAACGAATCTGTGACACCACTTCTTGTTCCATACACTGATTACAGGCCCGTGATTGGATCATATATACGAGATCTGATGCAAAAGAAGTGGGACACCCAAGTAGGTATCAATAAATTACATGAAATCAAACCAAATATTGGTTACACCTACTTGGGCTGTCAGTCCAGATTTGAGGAGGTCATAATGCGCCGATGTCGTATTGGCCACAGTAGATATACACATGAGTATATATTAAAAGGTGAGGATCCTCCGTTTTGTGTCCCTTGTGATGAAAGAATCACGGTCAAGCATGTCCTGCTTGACTGCATTGATTTTTCCATCACAAGGGATAAATATGTCAAAGTGTCATCTATGAAGGATCTTTTTAATCAAGAACATGCTCATTTAATTATCGGTTTTTTAAAGGAAATAGAATTAATTAATAAATTTTGATGTACAAAGATATATATTTTATAAATTGGTAGTATATGATACTTAACGGAGATTGTTAGTGGCTATATCGTCGAAGGGGGTTGAAGTAGCGTAAAATTATTGTCCCCCTCAGAGGATATGTAAGCCCACATAAATCAAAGTAATTTTATATCTGCCAGTGTTTTAATCGTAGCATATTTGTTGGTTTTAAATCTCCGGCTAAACCCTGTCAACGGTCGCCAGTGACTAAAGGGATGGTTTAAATCCTGCTGGGGTCCATGCAGGTAGCAAAGGTACTGTAAGTCCCCATGGTCCTCAGTATGGTGTCCTCACTTTAGTTGCTGGTGATATATAGCCCAATTTTATCTATTGTAATGTTATGAATTGTTATATTTTATGGTTCTGTACTAGTTTTAAACATATAATCTGTGATAATCTAGTTGTTTTACTGTCCTTCGTCGACGGAATTTTATACAGTTTACATATATGTTATGAAAGTCACATTTTCTCTCGTCACGATATGGCTGCAATATTGCCGATGTGACGTTAAATCTTACTCACTCACTCACTCTTAAATTACCTTGGCTGTTTCGTGACAACCTTAACTCTCTACTTGACTCCGAGATTTCGTATTCCTCCCCATACTCTGCACCCTGTCATTCTCAATAGAAAATCAATTAATTAAAAAAAATTGGTCGCCACCTGCGCTCATCGTTCATATAGTTATACAACGTGAGTACATTACGAACCACGTAGTTGGTACATATTAATTCCTTCACATCATTTCATATCATAGTCAATTTAACACTTTCATATTAATATATATTTCATGTACACAAATATACTTGCATTTATCTTAATTATTTATATATAATTATAACCGGGAGTGCAACTCCTGGTTACACTTTTAACCAGGGGTGACAGTAGTAGGTCGAGGGTCGGAGTGCTAGAGCAAAACAATAAAAGTAACATAGCAAGGGAATATGCATGTTGCCAGAGACAAAATAGATTGGGAGAGGAAACGTAGAGGAAATTGCCCTCGGGTTCATATATGGTTTTGGGGGTGGGGTGGAGGGGTAGTCCAGACTCCGGGAGTTGAGGTGGTTACATTACCACAAGTCCTTAAAAGAACCTGGAGATTAGACAAGAGTGGGCTAGGATGACCTAAGGTCAGGGGGAGATGGCCAATGACAAAAGAAAAAAATGAGTAAGGCCATGACGTAGGTCGGGAGTAAAAAGACAAGGAAACCAGAGCTTCGGGGGCGGCTGGAGGATCCCACTTGAACACTGTGGTATCGTTCTAATTTTCGGAAAGCCATACAAACCTCCAGTATA